ACGACCACGACCACGACCACGACCACGACCACGACCACGACCACGACCACGACGACCACGACCACGACGACCACGACCACGACCACGACAACGAACACTACTACTACTGACCCACTACTACTACTAGTACTAGTACTAGTCGTCGTAGTAGTAGTGGTAGTGTAGTAGGTAGTGGTAGTGGTAGTGGTAGCGGTAGTAGTAGTGGTAGTGGTAGTGGTAGTGGTAGTGGTAGTGGTGGTAGTAGTGGTAGTGGTAGTGGTGGTAGTAGTAGTAGTAGTAGTAGTAGTAGTAGACAACAGTAGTAGTAGTAGTAGTAGTAGTAGTAGTAGTAGTAGTAGTAGTAGTAGTAGTAGTGGTAGTGGTAGTGGTAGTGGTAGTGGTAGTGGTAGTGGTAGTGGTAGAAGTAGTAGTAGTAGTAGTCGTAGTGGTAGTGGTAGTGGTAGTTGTTGTGGTAGTGGTGGTAGAAGTAGTAGCTACTACTTCTACCACCACTACCACAACAACTACCACTACCACTACTACTACTGCTTTTATTATTGTTACTACTACTGCTACTCGTGCTACTGATTTTGAACCGGTACTTGTTTTTTGTTTAGGCGTGGTAGTTTGTGTTTGATTTACTATTTTTGGACAGCTGACCCAACATCTTGTAGTGTTTTGAATTACATTGTTCGTGCTTGTCTTTTTAATCGGGGGTCAAACGCTTGCGCGTGCTTGAGTTCTCCTGTCCTAGGGTCTAAGCAGCGGCGAGCTCATGACAACGGGATTCACAAAACCCAGCAAAGGGAAATATGCAGAAGGAGCCCAGGGTCCAGATGGCCCTTGTGGAGAGAAAGGTTTCTTTGCCACCAAAACAGTTGTTTTTTAGGTGTTCTTTGCTTGTCAAAACAAGTAGATGTTTGGCAACATCGCGTTTTTTCCGCCCACAAATTTGTGCATTTTGTTGGCCAACACTTGTGTTGCGGAGTAAGAACTTACATTTGATGTAGCCATGCGTGCACCCTACTAAACCATTTATCGCTGGTTTTTCAATCATGAGTTTGATTGTTTTGGAGGCGTTCAAGCAAAGTGAAACTACACAAATTGAATGATTGGAAGTGATTTTGGGTGGCATCCATGGCGTTCTTTGCAGCTGAGGATTGCCTTTTGGATTGATTGGCGGTCATTGCTATTCGATCATAAGAATTGCAGAATGCAACGGCCATCACTTACTTTGCATCCGAAATCCTTGGGGATCAGGCGAGACCTGCGCGGACTCTTTACTGGTTGTTTGATGTCCTTTTCTTTGGCTCAATGAGTTGTTGCCTTTTAGTGGCCTATCCCCGATCCGAACAAGAGGCAAGTCAAGTCATTCCAGACCCAAGGAAAGAGCAGCATGTTCGTTGCAAACACAATGGCACTTTTCCAACAATGAGCATGATTTTGTAGCAACACCAACCATAGTAGCCCCTCTCAGCCCAAGCGACTTTCTACCACTTGTGCCAGATGCTTCGATCTACCCTTCGTGCAAACGACACGGGCGAAACCACCAGACGCGCCTGGACGATCCTGGACCTGTCAGCCACAACAGGACGGCCCCACGGCCCATGCCGATCAGGCAAATACCATTACCCCGTAAAGGACAAAGGCATATAACATAATAGCTTCTTGTTACTACTAGTAAGGCACTTGTTACTAGAAGCGATGCACTTGTTCCTAATAGCTTCTTGTTACTAGTAAAGGCCTCCAACCTAATAGCGATGGCCTAAAGTCTGCTCTGCAGTGCTTGGAAAGGAAGCTATGCAGGGAGGAACTGCCCAGGACGATCCAGGTGTCAAAGGAGCCATCCAGGGCTGATTGGCAAGGATAATTAGTTGGCCATCCATTTGGGAATAACATATTGTGTCATATTTTCATGTCTTGCTTTCTCCTTCATTAGCTTCACCACTGAGTTTCTTCAACACTTAGCTGCCTCGCCCCTTGCCCGCCCCTTAGCTGGCCCAACGTCCGCAGGCGGACCCTCATCCCACTTACGGCTGAGGGTTCCTCAAAGCTAAGAACTCCCACTACTAGCTACCTCAAGACATTGCTATTAGGTTGGAGGCCATCGCTAAGTTGGTTCGAGGCCGTCGCTATTAAGTTGGAGGCCATCAATATTAGGGTGGAGGTCATCGCTATTAGGTTGCTAGCTACCTCAAGACATTGCTGGTCACCTACCCCCTGTGAAAAAATGAATGCCCCTTCAACATATGGCCCCACAAGAAGGGACGCGCGAAGAGAAAGTATGTACATCTAAAGACCAAGCTTGTGCCTAAGCCCTCACCATCCCCTTCCTTGCTCGCCCCGTTACACCCGAAGACAGCTCCAACCCACAGACCCACCACGTCTGACAATGCCAGACCCAACGATGTGCGTGTATGCTTCACAAACCTAACTTTCACACCGGGCAATCCGGAATGTCCTTTGCCTCGCACGGGGTGGGCGGATGTACGCAACGTGCGTGGCACACACACACACACACACGTTTGCATGGCCCGTATTCAAAAGGATCCTATACGTGTGACCGTTCAAACCTGTGGAAGGTGAATGGTCTGGGCCATGGAGTGACGCGGACTCGAACTGGACAGACGAGATGAAGGAAGCTCTTGGAGTTGTGAACAAGGCCTGGAAGGTGTTTGCATTTGCTTTCTTAGCCTAGGGAAGCAAAGAGGGAGGAAACTGTGAAGGGAGGGAGGACAACAGGAACTAAACTTGCCAAAATTCCAATTGGTTCAACCAGACAGCCTTGGAATTTGGCTGCCCCAGATGCGCAGTCACAACACGAAACCTTGTCGACACCCGTGTAGCTGTGTAAGTCGCACAAAGGTGTGCAAACACCAGAGAAAATGGACCCCAGCCCTGCAAAAATGTGCAAGTACAAACTTCGACAGACTGTTAGTTGGAATGACCGTTTGGTTGCCGCAAATGGGGAAACCTTGGTGACTTGAATACAATGGGCACTCATTCTAACCGCTTGGACATATTTTGGACACACATTTTTTTGGTATAGTCCGTCAACAGGTCTTTGCTTTGAGGTTGTATAAACATGTAGATTGCAGTATTCCTTGGCATTTCCCTTTTGAATGTGGAGCTGGAAGGAAAAGGGAAGGGAAAGGGAAGGCAACGGGAAAGATGGGAAAGGGAGCCACACAGGAATTCAATAAGAAGGGTTGTAAAAATGGCTGGCTTTGAATGCCACCCGAAGGCATCAAGCACATGCGTAGACCAAGTCCAGGAGCTTTCTGGAAATGTCCACAGACACCAGACATCGTGTCAAGGAGGCTGAAAGGAAGACACACAAACACTGGGATAAGGTGTGGAAGTTTGCCTTCATAGCGATTGCCTCCAACCTAATAGCGATTGCCTCCAACCTAATACCGATGGCCTCCAACCTATTAGCGATGCCTTGGCCTCAGGTATTTACATTCTAGCTGCCTTTTACCTTTTTGATGTTTCAAGGTGTTCTAGCTACCCATTCTATCCCTAAGTGGAAAATAACTGATAGTCAGTCTCAGTTATAATCAGTCAATATTCCAAGAACAGATTAAACCAAGTGAAACCTGTGACATTTTGTTGAGCCAAGAACAGAAGTTGAGTGTGTGTGAACCGGGCTGGAATGGCTAGAGCCGAGATGCTTTGTTGAAGTTATGAACTACATGCGCACAACTTTGCAGGACAACATTTTGCAATTTGCTTCAGTAGAACGCTTCAGTTCGCTCGAAAAGGCAGAGCATTTTTCGGCCAGGTGGATGGTACATTTTGGATGGCTGTCGAGGACCGGGAAGCAAGCCTCATTCGCTCTGCCTGCTTCGTACCCGTTGAAGGACTTCGTGCAAGTCTCAAAAGGAATCAAGTTCATCCGGAACTTCGGACCTTCCTGGCAATGCGCGGTGCAGAGAGGATGTTACAGCGAGGAACCGAGCAAAGCCCGTGCCAAGAAGGATTATCAAGATCCTGAGCTGCACCATGGGCCCCATGGGCCCCATGGGTCCCACGTTTCAGTGCACTGATTCCTTTGTTACTAGCAGCATCCTTGCTCCGTTCGTAGTAAGGCCAGGAGCCCCTAGTAGCGTCCTTGCTCCTAGTAGCGTTTCTTTTTTCACGTTCCATGAGCCGTTTGAACAAGAGTTTTTCTTTCAGGCCTGTGACGACAGTGAGATCACCTTGAAAAGGGGCGACATTCTTCAACTCTCGCAAGATCAAGGACTTCCTCGTCATCGACACTGAAGCCCCAAAGCAAATGATGACATCTATCATTGCTTTCGTCCAAGCAGCAAAGAACAAATGCATAAACACACTCGTATCAGCTGTGCTGCCCGTAGGATACTGGAAAAAAGGCACCAACGAGAGAACAGGTGAAAGCGGATTCTTTCGGACCAAAGATGTTGACGTGCAGATCAAGCAAGCATATAAGCATCTTGGTGTGCGTGATGATTTTGCCGTGGCACCAAATGCGAAAGGTTTGTTCTTAGCTGTCCAGTCAATATTTGTTGCAATCTATATACACTGTTCTTTGCTACCGAGTCACATTTTTTGCCTTCTACGCCGGAAACCATGATAGTTTCAACTTGCGAACAGATGCAGCAAAAATGGCTCGTCAACCAGGTTCAAATTATCGGTCGAGGACATGGCGGAGGGGACGCCCTTGATCTTTGCAGCCATGTCCGAAAACCAACTGATGAGGCATCTTCAACTTGGGCTTCATAAGCTTAGTAGTTACCCTTACTACTACTAGTAGTAACAAGAGGCTACTAGTAACAAGAAGCTACTAGTAACAAAGGGATATCCCTACTGGGAGCAAGGACGCTACTAGTAGCTCCTGGCCTTACTACTAGGAGCAAGAAGCTACTAGGAACAAAG